ATTTAAAAGCCCTGTTTTACCCTTTTAAATTTTAAAAATGTTTTGTTGGGGGGGAAATTTTTTCCCTTTTGAGTTTTTATCTCCACAACAGAATAATAATCTAATTATTTAATTGGGTTTAATTTTCCCCAAAAAATGTTTTTTTTTAAACAGAATTTTTGGATTTTAGTCGTTGTTTTCCCAATCTTTTCTAGTGAATATTCCCATAAAAAAAAATCAAATTTCCCTTTTTTAAAAATCATTTCTTTGGGAAATCAGGAATCCTCTAGGGATTTTTTTATTTTGAATTTTAGGGCATTAGTCCTTTTTAAAATTTTACTAATTTTGGTTTTGGGGGACTTCACCTGAAAGGGAACAATAATTTTTTATACAAATGAAAGCAGATATAAAACAAAATCTTAAACTGATATCACAAAGTTCATATTTGGATCTGAAATAGTGCATGTGTAACAAGAGGGTCATGATGGCCATGAAGTCACTCACCTGTATATACCCCCCCCCCCTGGGGGTCAATGTAAACCCCAAGGGCTTTTATTTTAACAAACATCAAACATGGTAGACATCCATAAGAAGATGTTTCATGCTCTCAATAAGCTCTTTAGTTTTTTTAAAAGAAGATTTTAAGTTTTTACTTCACATATATAGGGAACAAGAGCTGTCACCCAAGTGACAAATGCTGCCGATAAGCATCATTTGACTCAACAAATCGTCTCTATGTTGTAGACATTTATGTCAAGTTATTCTTAAATCCTTCAATGCATGACAAACTTACAGCCCGGACACTATTATATGTACCTATTAATTCTAATTGTGATAAATTAAATGTGAAACTTCAAAATGATAGTGTGACCTTGACCTTTGAGGTAGGGACGTGTTTCTTGGACGCGAAACAACATATTGATGTAGTAGACATTTTTGCCAACTTATTTCAAAATCCCTCAATGTATGACAAAGTTACAGTCTGATCACGAGTGAAGTGCGACCCACATGAAGGACGCATAGACGGACGGACGGTCAGACAGGTTGTGCGATTTTAATATGACTCCTTTCGGGGGCATAAAACAATGAACCCCCCCCCCCCAGGCGGGTCCAATTTTTAACCCAGGGTTTTTATTTGAACAAACTTGGTAGACACTCACTCGATGGTGTTTCATGATAAGTATCTAAACTGTATCTCTTTTAAGTATTTGAGCTTATATCAAATTTCGCCCAAATTAGGGTTCTGATTTTATTCAAATATGAATACCTTATTTAGCTGCAAAGTTTTATCTCATCTAGTAAGTATATGAATTTGAAAGCTAGTTTTACAAAGTGCAACATAAACTCGTCTATTTTACATCGTTTATGATTGTCAGAAGTCAATATTGACCATTGTTTGTCTTTGCAGTAACGATAACGTTTTTTACATTTTTAATAAAATAATAATATCTAAACAACAAAGCAAAACAAGCAACACAACTTTATATAAATTTCAGTTTAAATCTTAAATGTTTTTTTTTATAGATGTATATATTAGCACTACAAAAGACATTTTTTAGTCTTCAACCGTAAACAAAACAGAAAATTGAGTAAAACAATGTCAGTATGTTTCGCACGCACGTAAGAATATCATTTTTTCTTGTTCTATTTTTATGAACAGAGTAAGTTTCATCAATTTGAATGCAAAAAAAAATTTTTACCATGTTGCTATATTGCAGAACTAGAAAACAATCTGTGTTACACCAAGGACATGCTTGTTACTGCAAGGACTAATGAATGTTACTTAAAGGACTTATTACTGTAAATTTGCGTTTATTTTTTATCATTGAACTAACAATTAAATGTTAACAACATGCAGCAATGAAAATAAGCTTTGAATTATTATTGAATAGATCTTGAATTTGAATAACAAAGTAAGGGAAGAACTCTTTTAAAGTTACAGGACGGACATATGTGTGTTACTGAAGTGACAAAAAATAAAGAAATGATAAGGTGTTATTTATTTACAAACAATAATCATTTGAATTTAAGACCATTACTACTATTTGTATAAAATATAAACATTTCATTTGTACAGACACGAATTTAAAACGGGGAAGAGTTACAAGTCATTAAGGTAACCAAGCAGTCTTGTGAGTTCGCATAATTCAGTCTAAACTCGTCCCAGTCAATTTTATAAACAAGTTCAAAGAGAATACCATCAGAAGTTTGAAGATTGATATTACATGCTATATCTTTATTCAGGAGTTTTCTAAGTTAAATAATTAAAATTAAATGCAAAAGTCCTTGAATGCATAATTTTAATCCTGAATGACTGTAATTCTTGTGACAAAGCCATTCATTTACCTTACAAATTGTCAGTGGCCCTTCTGTGCCTGAAATAACCTGGGGTCTTTTTCAACCATTGAAGCTTGAAATTTGCCAACTGAACCTAAGAGTTTTGGTGCAACATTTTAAGCAAACAAAGCAAAATAGAGGCGTGGAAAGTAAACAAACAGTCATGTTCTTAGTTTTAAAGGGACTACTTTTAATGACTAATTTTAGTAGTTTTGAAGACAACAATTTTCTTTTGTAAAAATGCCTTAAAAGCTTGCTTGTGAATGATATAAGTTAGGTTTGATTTCTATTTTGTAAAGTAAACTGTAATTCTATGCAAAAAATAAGTCTCTGTAGAGATAAGTACCAAGAACTTTCCATCTATATACTGGTACTGCCTTCATTACTTTTATTTCTAAAATCGCTTCAGTTATTTTGTGAAATGACATGCATTTCAATTACCACAATATGTATATTGTCCTTACAGTAACTTAATGTTGAGGATTCTAAAACTGTAAAAGGTGCAAGATTATTCAGATGATTTTCCTCAACTTTAACAATAGCAATGTACTGTAAAAGCAAAAAATAACCTACTGAAACAAAAAAGAAATTTTCTCCAAGTTTGAATGTAGATATGTTAGTATAGTACATTGAGTTTGAATTAAAACGTCCTTTCAATAACACAGTTTGTCCTTCAAATAACAAAATAAAATAAAGCAGAAGTTTTAAATGGCATAAATGTCTAATAATAGAATAAATATATTAATAATAAATAGATTATGCCAACAAGAAAATGTATATCGTATCTTTATCCATAATTATATGTTAAAGAAGAATTGTGTTGTATTTTGTACTTTCAGTAACAGATTTTGTACTTGCAGTAACATTATTGTAAGGACAGTTACTGCAAGGACTTATTCAGGTTATTTTACAGCCTTTACAGATAAGATAAGGGAGACAATTTTGATCATTTAATTCATGACTGAAACATATTTGCTAATAGCAGCAATACAAAAGGGAATCTTTCTAATAAGTTAAATAATTAGAATCTCGTTACTTAAAGGACACTGTTCGAAATCATGGTTCCAACCTTTAATCAATATCTTCCAATTTTCTAAATCGTATTTAAAATTTCCATATGTTTCGTTGCTGTAGCCATGTATTACACCTATTACCTTCTTTTGAAGAGCACACTGCAACAATTTACTTAAACTAAAATAATCTACTTATAGTCCTGTTACTTGAAGGACATTTTTTTCAAAAAAGTTGGGGACAAAATTATAACTTTCATTTTGCAAATTGAAATACTAAACTTGAGGCTTTTACTGTATAAATATATTTTATAAAAGGTAATATTTTGCATTAGTTAACAAAAACATGTATTTTAAGGATTATGAAAATACCAGAAAAAATATGTTTAATATCTTATCCTGTAAATGTCTTAGTTTACAATATTTTATGTACTTACAAGCATGCAAATTTATTTTTTATAAAATGATCATGCATTTTGTGAAAAATTGAAAAGGACAAGATTACAGGCGAAATCTGATATTGGCTCATTTACTTTACACAAATAAAAGGAAAATCAATGAACCCCCCCCCCCCCATGATGGGGCCAATTTTAACCCATGGGCTTTTATTTGAACAAACTTGGTAGACACCCATGCATAGTTCTGCATGGAATTAAATTCTTGAACAAATTTTAAAGATGACCACTTAAGGAACATTCATGTGAAGTTTGGGTAAAAATTGGCATAAAATACACATCTTATGTGGAGCCCTTAACCCTTTCGCTGCCAGAGGGTTATTGTTTTATTGATCACCTATTTGCCAGAATGTTTTCTAAGAAATTACTATATTATTAATTAATATAATTATTATTATTAGTTATTAGTATTATAATAATTATATATGTTTCCAAATCTGTGAGTATAATAATAATTATTATCAATGGTATAATTTTCTTTATATCTATTATTATTATTATTATTATCAATTTATTATTAATACTATTATTATTATAGAAACGGCTAAAGCCGTCCATATGGCAAATACGCAGAAAATAACAGGGACGGCATAAGCTGTAGCTATGGCAGTGAAAGGGTATGGGGGAAGCAACAGTTCCATAAAATAAGTGGAAGTTAGTTCCTGATATAAAATTAAATGGTAGATTCACTCGTTGCCATGCAAAGTTAATGTTTGCTGGTTGCTTTGAAATTTTACAGTTTGCTATGAAAAGTCAAAGGCTGTTATGAAGTCGCTGATTGCTATGGAAACTTAGCTTTATCTCTTGTAGATTCAGGGAATATTTTTTTTTTAAATTATTTTACTATAAATTATAAGGTCAATCGATGTAACCCTAGGGCGATACTGGGGCTAAAATTTGAACATTTTTTGTAGAGGTCCATGTGCCAATGTTATAAGCCCAATATCTAAGCTTCTGTACTATAACAGAAGATTTATTTTTCCTATTTACAGATAAGAAAAACTTCATTTATTTCATTTCATTTACCCCCTTGGGCAGGGCAAATTTTTACCTCATGGTTTTTATTTGAGCAAACATGGTGGTGACCCACTGGAATAAGTTTCATGCAAAATATATATGCTCTAGCGCTTCTGATTTAAAGGTTTTTTTTAGGTTTTTTGTTTGGTTGCAATGGCAACCAAAATTTAGCATTGAATGGAATTCTTTGCATCATTTTTAAAGGGCTTCATGCTAGAAATATTACTGCTTAGATTTAAAATATCAGCCAATTGGTATAAAAGATGTTAAGAGTTAAACGCCATTTTTTGAAGGATGCATGCCGGACGCAGAGTGATCACAAAAGATCAACCTTGAGTACTTTGTGTTCACGTGAGATAAAAAGTGGATGACAATATGCATCATGAAAAAACAAAGCTTGCTAACCTCATTGTGTGCCTTGACAAGCAAATAATACTGGTTTATACAAACATTAGTTATCTTAAAACCATTGCTGAATGCAATACGTGAACTGGTATCTTAAGTGGAAACAAACAATAGCTAAAACATTTTACCTCTTTTTGCTCTTCCATTATTGTCTCAAGAATAGTAAATTTCTTTTTTAAATCTGCATGTTCTTTCTCAGCCTCTAGTTGTCCTTTCTTTTCTTCAGAAATCTGTTTCTTTAGATCTGCAAGTTTGTTTTCAAGTTTTTCAGTCTCAACTTTTCCCTCTGAGAGTTTATTTTTCAGGTCCTCATATTCGTCTTTAGTAGCAGCATTTTCCGTTGATTTCAAAACTTTTGACATTTCTTCCTTGATTTGCCCCAGAATATCTTCAAAACCTTCAGTTGTAATAATGTAGTCCTTCTTCTTCAGCTGAGGAAAAATAACAATTTTGTTACATTTTCTTTAAGACTACATTAGCTATGTGATTTTTAAAATTCACTCTTACATATATCATATTTTAAAGCAATATCATTTTATTTAAACAAGAGGGCCATGATGGCCCTGAGGTCGCTCACCTGTATATAGGCCCCCCACCCCCGGGCCAATTTTTACCCATGGGCTTTTATTTGTTTATTTGAACAGACTTGGTAGACACCTCTAAGAAGATGTTTCATGCTAAACATCTAAGTTCTATCTCATTGGGTTTTTAATAAAAGATTTTTAAAGTTTTTACTATACACATATAGTTAAAAACAATGACACCCCTGGGGCAGGGCCAGTTTTGACCCCCAGGCTTTTATTTGAACAAACTTTGTAGATATTTACTTAAAGATGTTTCATGCTTAATATCTAAACTCTAGCTATTTGGGTTTTTTCAAAGAAGATTTTTAAGTTTTTGCTATAAATATATAAGGAAAAATAAATGACCCCCCCCCCCCGGGCGGGGCCAGTTTTGACCCCAGGGCTTTTATTTGAACATACTTGGTAGACACCCATTAGAACATGTTTCATGCTAAATATCTTAGCTCTAGCTCTTTGAGTTCTTTAAAAGAAGATTTTTTAAGTTTTTACTATATGCATATAGGAAAAATCAATGACCCCCCCGGGGCGGGGCCAATTTTGACCCCAGGGCTTTTATTTGAACAAACTTGGTAGACACTCATTAGAAGATGTTTCATGCTAAATATCTTAGCTCTAGCTCTTTGGGTTCTTTAAAAGAAGATTTTTAAAGTTTTTACTATATGCATATAGGGAAAATCTATGACCCCCTGGGGCGGGATCAATTTTGACCCCAGGGCTTTTATTTGAACATACTTGGTAGACATTCACTAGAAGACATTTCATGCCAAATATCTAAGCTCTAGCTCTTATGGTTCTTTAAAAGAAGATTTTTAAGTTTTTACTATATGCATATAGGGAAAATCAATGACCCCCGGGGCGGGGTCAATTTTGACCCCAGGGCTTTAATTTGAACAAACTTGGTAGACACTCACTAGAAGATGTTTCATGGTTAATATCTTAGCTCTAGCTCTTTGGGTTCTTTAAAAGAAGATTTTTTAAGTTTTTACTATATGCATATAGGGAAAATCAATGACCCCCTGGGGCGGGGCCAATTTTGACCCCAGGGCTTTTATTTAAACAAACTTGGATAACATTCATCAGAAGATGTTTTATGCCAAATATCTAAGCTCTAGCTCTTACGGTTCTTTAAAAGAAAATTTTTTAAAGTTTTTACTATATGCAAATAGGGAAAATCAATGACCCCCCGGGGCGGGGCCAATTTTGACCCCAGGGCTTTTATTTGAACAAACTTGGTAGACACTCACTAGAAGATGTCTCATGCCAAATATCTTAGCTCTAGCTCTTAGGATTGTTTAAAAGAAGATATTTAAAGATTTTTCTTTTGGTTGCCATGGCAAACAGAGTTCTGCATGGAATTAAATTCTTTGAACAATTTTCAAAGGTGACCACCAAAGGAACATTCCTGTGAAGTTTGGATGAAATTGGCTCTGCGGTTTATGAGGAGATGTCGTTTAAAGTAAAAGTTTACGGACGACGGACGGACGGACGACGGACGGATGGACGCCGGACGAAAAGCGATCACAAAAGCTCACCCTGTCACAAAGTGACAGGTGAGCTAAAAATACCTCAATTGTTCTTTATGTTAATTTTCACACTTTTCTGTTGCATTCTTAAACTTTATAAGAGTGTGTGTTTGATAGGTATTTGGCTATCAGTCTCCATTTTTCATTCTTCTGTTATTGTCTACATATATTTCAATGCAACCAGTATTCTTTTAATACATCTCAGTTTCTTCATTTCACACTTAAATCAAGGATTTGACTTGCTTAACATGTTTAGATTCTAATAGGGGTTATAAAGATATATATAATTATGGTCACAGCTAAATGGGAGATACAAACAATTTGTAGGTTTTATTATCTCAAGTATAATAATCATTCACACCCCTTTTCAATGTCTGGATATTTGAAGTAAATTGTATTGCTATAATCCAAACTTTACCACAATATCAGAATTCAGAAGTCCTCAAAAATTCAGAGGTATGAAATATATAGAATTTTGGGACCCTTAAAATTGTTCGCATTTCAAAGTTTTTGGAATTCAGAAGTTCTTTACAAACTAAAATCTCTTTTGTTTATAATTTAACATTTAATAGGTACATATATATTTTTATGTGACTTTATCAATTAAGGTAAGGGGATTATTTTTTGAATTTGACTATACTTTACCACTTCAAACCCTGTTAACCTAAACTTTGTCCTTAATTAAGTGATATGTTATCTTAAATCATTATAAGTTAACTCCATAAAGATTTCAAACTGACACAATTCATTATTTACACTTACATCTTGAAGTTTCTTCACTGCTATCTGGGCATCTGATCGGTGTAATAGCTCTTTACCATCTTGTAAAACTGCTATCATATCATCTAAGTAAGTATTTGCCTCACTTTCTTCTAATTCCATGCTGCTTGAGTGAAAGATAGCATTTCTATAGTGACGAACCTATTGAATAAAAAACACAGTTTCAACATTATTATATGCATAAAATGATAAATATACAGTGATTAGCAAATCAAAATTGTTTTGTAGAAAATTGTTTGGGTACTTACCTACATATAAGATGCTATCATGAATCATACAGGCATTTTTCATATATTTTACAAAAATGTCACATGGCAAATTTGGGATAATTGTGTCTTAATTTTCTATTGGAACAAGAGTCAGTTGAACCGGGTGATGCTCCCCAAATAGGTTTTGGACACAGAAAGGTATACCTCTTGTAGTGTCAGAGTTATTTTACAGACAAAGTTCAAAGTGTAAAAACAACCCAAATATTGCGCACGACACATTGTCTCAATATGGCGATCATTTCTGTAAAATAGAACTTTGTAAAATCAGACTTCAAATAACGAAGTTATGGGCTGGACAGGATTTTCCTGCAAGGTCATGCTGTGACATTCACCTTCAAGGTAACCACCCAAATGATGCCCACGACACATTATCTCAATATAGTGATCATTTCTGTGAAATAGTTTTAAAATCCGACTCCAAATAACGAAGTTATGGGCCGGACACGATTTTGCTGCAAGGTCATGCCTTGACCTTCACCTTCAAGGTAGCGCCCAAATGTTGCGCATGACACGTCGTCTAAATATGCTGATCATTTCTGTTAAATAGTTGTTAAATCAGACTTAAAATAACGAAGTTATGGGCTGGACAGGATTTTCCTGCAAGGTCATGCTGTGACATTCACCTTCAAGGTAACCACCCAAATGATGCTCACGACACATCATCTTAATATGGTGATCATTTCTGTGAAAAAGTTTTAAAATCTGACTTCAAAGAACAAAGTTATGCGCCAGACACGATTTTGCTGCAAGGACATGCTGTGACCTTGACTTTCAAGGTAGTGACCCAAATGTTACATGCGAAACGTTGATTCAATATGGTGATCATCTCTGTGAAATAGTCGTTAAATTCGACTTCAAGTAACGAAGTTATGGGCCGGACACGATTTTGCTGCAAGGTCATGCTGTGACCTTGTCCTTCAGGGTAGCGACCCAAATGTTGTGTGTGACACGTGGTCTCAATATGGTGATCATTTCTGTGAAATTGTTGTAAAATCCGACTTCAAATAACAAAGTTATTGGGTGGACATGAATTTGGGACGCATGTACGTCCGGACGGACATACATTGTTACTTTTGATGTTTATGAGGCAAACCAGCTCATAAACACCACCTGGACAAAAGTCCATAAGCAAAATAAGCTCATAAAAACAAAAAAATAGTTCTTAATTTGAATTTTATGAGTTTTTGTTCTTTATTTAACTACGGAATGAAGCTCTAATCAAATGTTTGCTCGGACTGACATGCGGACTGACGGATATTCTCAAAGTAATTATGTGGCTACTCTATTGTTCTCTCTATTGTCCTTTTTAGCCACACAAAAGAAAATAGCAACATAAAAGCATTACGGAATGAACTAGACCTATCACTGAAGGTGATTAATACCCCACCAGCAACTTTGACTTTGACCTTGACCCCAGGGGTTCCAGATGCAATACCAACCGGGGTCTTCATATAAGCTTGCTGTACACCAAGTTTGATTACAATATCTCATTCCTAACTTTAGTTATTGTCTGGAAACCATTTTTCTATTTATAGTAATGGTGACCTTGACCTTGCCCCCAGGGGGTCCAGATGCAATACCAACCGGGGTCTTCATAATAAGCTTGCTATATACTAAGTTTGATTACAATATCTCATTCCTAACTTTAGTTATTGTCCGGAAACCATTTTTCTATTTTTAGTAACGGTGACCTTGACCTTGGCCCCAGGGGGTCCAAATGCAATACCAACCGGGGTTTCCACATAAGGTTGCTATATACCAAGTTTGATTACAATACCTCACTCCAAACTCTAGTCATCGTCTGGAAACCATGATGTGGACCGACCGACGGACCGACGGAATGACCAACCGGCCGACAAGCTGACTCCTATATACCCCCCCCCCCCTAAACTTCGTTTGTGGGGGTATAATGACATCAAAGAGGAAGAACAGTTACCTATTGTCACTCTAGCCATATAATAACTGTCCTGTGAGTGCAGACTGACGGACGGACAACCCGTCGATTTTGTGCTCTCCCGAAATTTTTCGGTGAGTATAAAAAATAATTATGAAATTTATCATTTCGGAAAATATGCCAGCATTCAAGATGTTCAAATTCTTTTAACAAAGCTTAATAAATCTTATTGAAACTGATCAGAAATTAAACATATCGTCAATTTTCAGAACCTCCACACCAAGTACAAAAGGTGGTACCTTTGAAACCATTGAAGAAGACTGGTAAATTTGTATACTTTTGTTGTGAATCTTTAGATTTTAATTTTCAATTTTACTTTGGATGCTGAATATACAGCATTTACATTAGGCCAAAATAAAAAATATGTCTGGTTCAGGGAACCCGACCGACCCTATTTTTTTACCGCCAACCCTAAATTTTTTTTTTTTGATTTTCGGTACGAAAATTTTTGGGTACGAAAATTACAAATGTGAAAATTTTGTTTTACGATGCCTGTTCAAATAGCTGATGAGTAACAATCTTAAAATAATCACAAAATATTTAATATTATATGCTCAAAATCAACAACAAGTAGAATTGTGAATGTTTCTGCAGGAAACAGACAAATTTTCAATTGTCACATATTTTCGCGATGGCGCTTTTTATAATTAAAAAAATCGTAACCAAAAGGAAGATATGTTTTGTTGAAATGTGTGTAATAACACTAAAATTATAATTAAGGAATTAAATTAACTATTAGTTGAGATGGAGCCATTACCAGTATGTGTTTGTAACATACAATGATTATTTTCTTTTTTAAGGGAGGGGGGGTGTGTAAGGTCTGATGATGTATGTTTTTTAAATTATATTTCAAATCTTTTCAATCATTTTTTATATTGTACAGTGTTTTCCATTTGGGACATATTACCATTTTCCTGAATAAGCTTTTTCTCTTTTCAAAGTCTCAGATGCTCTAAGCTTATAATACAGCATTATTTTTAACTTGTTACAGAGGTGACCCTTGATCTTTTAATTGGCAGACCTGTCAGATGCAGGTTAGCATAGTACAACGGGTGATTATTAAAGGGAAAGGGTACATAATAAGCAGAATAGAAAGCAAATTAGTATGAATACAGGTGCTACGTGGTTAAATGACTACATACAAGAAATAAACAACACAATATCACATGCTGATAGTCTATTACAAAATGATGTTTGCACTGGTTGATTACAATCTGTGTTTAAGTATGTTAAGCAAGCAACACATCTTTATATAGAAAATAAGACATTCTTTCAACCAAAAAAAAACAAAACAAAAAAAAAAAAAATCCCTACCCTCCTAATTGTTTGGACCAATGTTTCCTGAACTAGACATATTTTTTTTATTTGGCCTTACAATACAGCTAATAAAAGATAAACAAGACACTTTATTAATAATTTACCTTTGTAAAAATATTGTTTGTTACTGTGACATCACATCCAATGTGGCTATGAAAATACTGGTTATTTATCATTAGATGTAACAACCCAGTACAATCAGTTTCACCAGCAGATTGTTTCTGCTCGTACCCTGGAGCATTTATAAAACACTTACAAATGCTCCAAGGATCTGTCACCCACTGTAGAGCATCGCTGTTTTTCCAGTTAGGTGCAGGTGGCGTGGAGGCATGATGCTGCACAATAAAATCATAGATGGCGCCACATATGTTGTTCGGACAAGCAATTTTTCCCTTAAAGCAACAGCTGCATTTTACTTGCCCAAGGGGACAGACTTTGTTTCCAGCATTCCCAGGTACTGGCTTATGGTCTGGCTTGAGAGTTTCAACTTGACAGCCCCCACATGTCACAGTTGATGGTAGTGACTTTGTAGACCGAATGTTTTGTAAAATATCCTTATGTTGTAGGTCAGCTATGTCATTACAGAATGGTGCCAGTCCCTCCTTTAAATATCCAAGTCCTAAACCAGCCTTTACCCACTGTCTGTATTTTTCCTTCTCTAACTGAAGTTGATGTGCCATCCTGATACTCTATCAATATCTAAACAAATCAAACAAAAAGATTATGTTAAATTTTATATAAATAAGTAATTATGGTCTTGGATTGCAATTCAAAGTCAAAAATACTGGGTAAATATGATATGAGCCGTGCCATGACAAAACCAACATAATGGGTTTGCGACCAGCATGGATCCAGACCAGCCTGCGCATCCGCGCAGTCTGATCAGGATCCATGCTGTTCGCTTACCAACCATATTACAAGTAGAGAAACTGATAGCGAACAGCATGGATCCTAATTAGATTGCACGGATGCGCAGGCTGGTCTGGATCCATGCTGGTCGCAAACGCACTATGTTGGTTTTGTCGTGACGTGGCTCATATGTGTTCCAAAAAAGACAAAATACTAGTGGTGTCATCGATCAGGATTATAGATAAATAAACTATGAAAACTGAACAATTTGTTTATTTCTTTTATCATATAACTACCTGTACGAAAAATCAGCATGGCTTTTCTGAAAAACAGGACCGATTCAGGCCTGTTTTGAACCAGAATTGGCAAAATCAGGGTGAAATAGACATGGACCCTGAATTTTCAAGAAATCTCACATGGGAATTCAAGTTTTTTCTACCCTGACATTGTCCTCATTTTGGTAAAAGTCAGGGTGGAAGCAGGAATATTTGCACTTTGAAAATATTTTGACACAGATTTTACTGACTTGGAGAAATATAAGCAAAATCTACCCAGATATTTTAATGTTAGAAAATTTTCAAGAACCAGTTTCAATACAGTCTTAAAAGTTCTTCATCTCCAGCCTGATTTTTCTTAGTTAGAGTTGGTTTTAACATATTTATTTAAGCTCGATTGCGAAACAAGTTCTTGCAACTTATATTAATCACTTTCGAGTCCGCTTCCTGGAACCAACCAGTACTGGTGTCATATGAAGAAACATGGTCGTGACCCGAGTAGGGCTCGAACCCATGATCTCTGGGTTGAGCGGCAGAGTTCAGTTCTATTAGTTAGAGTTATTAGAAATGAATATTGTAATACACTTATAGTACAGTTTACATTGCTGTTCAGATAAAATTGAATTTTTAATTCAGAAGAAAATATATTATAATGTCTATTTCTGGAAGTTTCAGTTGATTTATGGTAAACTCCATTTAACAAAAATTCTTTTTATTTACTGAATTATTCTTTAATATTTTTTTTTAATTTTGTAGATTTTTTAGCTCAACATGATTTATTGTTATCTATCAAATTGATAATTGTCACTGGTAATTGATTTTATTTATATTTAACTTATGATAAAAAAATATTATTTAATGCATTAATTGGTCAGCAATAAGTAATGTACAAGATTTTTAGTTTATATCCATCATCTCACAATCTGTACAGAATCTCCTACTTCTAAGGTCAGCTTTCAGTTTATATAAACAAATAACATTCAAGTGGAACTTTTTACAGTATTTCAAAATACTTTATGTTAAACTGGGCTATCTGGCAGATGAAAATAGAGAAGTTACCACAGATTGACCGACAGCAGTTTAAAGTCCAGAGCAAATATCACACCCTGAAAATTATTTCCAGCATGGTCATTTTCTTCAGAAAGATTGGAGGCTTAAGTTGTGATTTTAATTCAAAAAAATCAACTAACATTTATATATTAATACATAAATGAGTTTTGATAATTACATAGAAAATGAGATTTAAGAATTCAACTACCCCAGCTATACAGAACTTTCTTGGGAAATTAATTGTGAAATTTATATATAACATGGAGCATAATAGATGTGTTAAACTTCGTTATTCCATTTGAAAAAAATGGAGGGAAATAAGCAGCCAATTGTAACAGATAAATGGTAAGTTATAATTGAATTACAGTTCTTAATATTTTTAATTTTTCATAAAATTATGAATTCTGTAAGCTCATATTCAAAAAAGATTTTAAATAACTTTCCAGGAAACCTGTTTATAAATATGGAGGGAAAATGAAATCATTTTTAATTTTTCTAAATAAACAATACATTAAATTTTTTATCATTTCATTTTAGAAAAACAAACTGAAGTCTTAAAATGTAATAAAAATTATGACATGATTGCATATTTGTTTTTTCTACTTCCAAAATTTAGGTTGAAGCCAAATATTTCAATAACATGTGACAAGTCAGGATGAAGAAGAAGAAAATGGTGTAGTTGGAACAAAAGAATACAATAGAAGAAATACTAAACTGGTAATTTTTAAGTTTTTCAATTTCTATCAAAATTAGTTTCAGTTTTAATTATTAAAAGTATTCATTCCTGTAAATTTTATGGAATTAATGACTTCATGAAGTCAGTACATATATGTTTATAATGCTGTAACTTCTTTAAAATAATTTCATCAATCATTTTGTTCTTTTGATGTTTTGATTGCAATTAATGAAATATTATACCTTTAAAACTACATTGTATGGACATATATCTCTATATTAAGGTGTTACATTTCTTTTAGATTAATATATAAATTGAAAGTTGACTATAGCATATTCCTACACTGCTTTCATATGTTTACAGATTGTGTAGTCCAGAGACTATAATGTGGAATTACGTAATACAGTGTGCAGCTACCTAGTGGAAATATCAAACAAGAATGACTTTTGAAATGTATTTAATTGTATGAAAATCAAATACAGATAAGTGAAAAAAAAATCTCAATTTTTATTTTGTCAATTATCAACAAGGGTGCCATAGTCACAAAATACGCCCGTTTACGAAAAAGCTTTAGATGGAGATGGGGGCATTATGGATAAGTGTTATCTAGCAAGCAAGTTTTTTTTCTTGGCACTGTGTTGTTAAATGAACCTTAAAACAAATCAATAGGGAAGATATGCACAGAATGTGTGACCTTGACCTTGGTCGCAGGGACCTGAATTTTATGCACGGCACTCAGCCTCACAATGATGAACATTTGTGCCAAATTATATTGAAATCCCTCTATGCATGTAGAAGTTTTGCTCCAGACAAGTGTTTTTCTATGAGCTCTAACTGTGACCTTCACCTTTGACCTAGAGACTTGGTTTATGTGCAGGGCACTACGTCTCATGGTGGTGAACAATTCTATAAAAGTAACATTAAAATTCCTCCATGCATGTAGAAAATATGCTCCGGTCAACATCTGGATATTTAATCATCTCCAGTGACCTTGACCTTGCAAATATTAACCTAAATTAAATGTGTAACACCTGTAGTCATGATAGTTACCATTTGTGCTACAATCCATCAATAAATGATGACTAAATGGTCTCTATAACCATCTTCAAATTTTTATCTGAACTTTGACCTCTATGTGTAACCTTGACTTTGGTCGCAGGGATCTGAATTTTGCATGCGACACTCAGCCTCACAATGGTGAACATTTGTGCCAAGTTATATTGAAAACCCCCTATGAATATAGAAGTTTTGCTCCGGACAAGCGTTTTTCAATGAGCTCTAAGTGTGACCTTGACCTTTGACCTGGAGACCTGGATCATGCATGGAGCAATACATATCATGGTGGTGAACATTTCCATAAAGTATTATAAAAATTCTTCCATACATGTAGGAGATATGCTCCAGACAAAATCTGGATATTTCACCATCTTTAGTGACCTTGACCTTGCATATATTGACCTAAAGTACATGTGTCACAGCCGTAGTCATTATAATGACCATTTGTGTTACAATCCCTCAATAAATGATGATTAAATCGTCCCTTTACACATCTTCATATTTTTATCTTTTTTTAAACGGGCGTATAAAAAGTACATGTAATTTAATAACTAAAAAATTCTGATTTAAGATTTTATTCTAGGGAAATACATTTCATAACAATTCTTAATCTTTGAATGAGCTGAACTGATATTTACTTGAAAATTAAAATATAATTAAATTTCTATGAGAAAGTATTTACATTTGATAAGGTAATTACTGTATGATCTTTATGAACAAATACCAAGTCTACAGAACACCATAGTTATCACAGTTAAGAATCTTGACCAATGAATGAAACATGTGTAAATAATCTTACATTCTTTAGAACATACTCAAGTCCAAGGAAGAGGATTATTTCATGCCCTTTGATTAAATTCTATTTTTAGAATTGAAAGTGAAAGTAGATCAAGGGGAGTAATTGTGTAAGTCATTTATGAACAAAGTAATAACTTTGTTGTCTCCCTTTGATTAAATTCTATTTACAAAATCTGGATATTTCATCATCTTTAGTGACCTTGACCTTGTATATATAGACCTAAATTATATGTATCACAGCCATAGTCTTGATAATGACCATTTGTGTTTCAATCCCTCAATAAATGATGACTAAATGGTCCATATACACATCTTCATATTTTTATCTGAACTTTGACCTCTATGTGTGACCTTGACCTTGGCCGCAAGGACCTGAATCTTGCACGCGACACTCCGCCTCACAATGGTGAACATTTGTGCCAAGTAATATTGAAATCCCTATATACATGTGGAAGTTTTGCTCCGGACAAGCAATTTTCAATGAGCTCTAAGTGTGACCTTGACCTTTGACCTAGAGACCTGGTTCATGTGCGCGACACTGCTCCTCATAGTGGTGAACATTTATATGAAGTTTCATTAAAATCCCTCCATACATGTAGGAGATATGCTCCGGACAAAATTGGACGCCGCCCGCCCGACCGCCAGGGGCGTTCCCATAATACGTCCCGTTTTTCAAACGGGCGTATAAAAAGAACAAGAATCTGGGTGGATTTTTATTTTAATTTCAGGGTGGGATTTGCACAATTTTGGGGCGGGATAATAACAGGAGGAAAAAAGTCTAGCCTGACTTTTTAAACAGAAATCAGGGTGAATTATGGCTCATTTAAATATTTCAAATTAATCCCACCCTGAAATTGCTCTTAATTTAACTAGAAGTAAATCTATTTATAGAAATCTGTGTGAGTGAAAATTCTGCCCTGGATTTCCATTTCAGGGTGGTGTTTTTTCTGGCTCATTTAAATATTTCGTTGAATCCACCCTGAAAACACTATAATTATTATATTGTACACTACAAAATCTAAAAATAGATTTCTGTCTTCTCTATAGTCAACTGAATAGCTTAAAAAACCTGACTGGAAATAAATTTCTGATCCCATGTCAAATCAGGGTGTAGTCAGGA